TCTATCTATCTATCTATCTATCTATCTATCTTTCTACCTACCTACCTACCTACCTACCTACCTACCTACTTACCTATCATGTGTGTGTGTGTGTGTGTGTGTTTGTACACCAGCAGTCAGGAATAGATCTTACTTGATAAAAAGTCGAAAGAGACCTATAAAAAGATGGATCAATGACATCAGCAAGTATTGCGGGCCCAATTGGCAAAAGAAAGCTCCAGATTGTATGGGTTGGAAACATGCCGAAAAGGCCTTCATCCTGCAAATCAATATTCACTAATGAATTTGTTTCCTTCAATTTTTGTAACAGGGGATTTTTTTAAAGATCCTCTTCCGGAAGCTGAGCTGTATATTTTAGCAAGGATCCTCCATGACTGGTCAGATGAGAATTGTGTACAACTTCTCACAAAAGTGCAAAAGTCTTGCAAAACTGGTATGTACATGATAATATCCTGACTGTGTATTATGCAGTTACACATTTTAATATACATTTGAGTGTGTCAAAAATATTTCTATGACACTATTTCATGTATGGAATTTCTTGGTGCTTAAATATCTTCATATGCAGGATAAACTGTTGCAGAAAATTTGTCCCAAACAGTTATAAACCTGTAATGAGGGAAGATTATACTGGATATGATTTTTTTTAATATTCCAATTAGGTGGTGGTGTTTTACTAATTGAAACTCTTCTGAATGAGGATAAACGTGGCCCATTGGAAAGCCAGCTCTATTCGCTAAATATGCTCGTTCACACTGAAGGAAAAGAACGGTCACCTGCAGAATATAGCAAGCTCCTCACAGCAAGTGGTTTCAAGGAGATCAAAATTAAGAAATCTGGAAAGCTCTATGATGCCATTTTAGGAAAAAAATAATGGTTTCTTTTACCTTATTATAAATGCAAGCAAGGTGAGATTATATATTTGGAATATATATGTGAAAACACAATTGGTTTTAATGAAACACAATTGATCTAAATCCTATTAGAGAACAGAAATTATAATATTAATAACAGTCTAAAAATATAAATTTTTCCACTATTAACATACTTAATGAACAGTGTAAATCAGCATAGAATCTAGAGAGACCTGTTCAGCCTTTTTTGTTTACTTTTTTCTTTTAAATCAGTTTTGCAATAGAAATTATGCACATTTTCAGCTATTTCTGAAGTTTATTAATATCATGTAATATTAGAATTTCCTCTATGTGATGATGGTGAAAGTTGGTTATGGAATATTAAATTTAGTTGGAAACACTGCATAGAGCCCTTAAGCCATAGCAACAGAACTACAGAAACCAAAAGTGGAATCCTAAGACCAAAAAATGCTGAATGAAATATCTTTCCCTTTTCTTAGGCTAGCCCAGTTCCGAAATAATGGTGTGTGACATTCATTTTAAGTAAGGGGAAATTTGGTAATAACATAATAACAAGAAAATTAACAATACTTTGGGTCTGGGGTTTCCTCAGAAAAGCATTTGATTAATTCAATACATTTATTGTACTCCCCCCCAAAAAAATCCCCACCCCACCAGAGGTGGTATTCAGCAAGTCCTGACTAGTTGTGGAGAACCGGTAGCAGAAATGTTGAGTAGTTCGGAGAACCGGTAGCGGAAATTTTGAGTAGTTTGGAATACCACCTCTGACTGGTTAGTGGGGTGGGGTGGGAATGGAGATTTTGCAGTATCCTTCCCCTGCCACGCCCACCAAGCCACACCTACCAAGCCAAGCCACGCCCACCAAGCCACCCCCGCAGAACCAGTATTAAAAAATGTTGAATCCCATCACTGCATCCCACCCCACTCTGTTTTAGTTTCTGTTGGGTAACAATGTATCACAATGTAACACAACTTTACTAGACTTGTGATGTCTGTAAATCTATGATGTCAATTTTATGGAATTCTTCAATTGGTTGAAACATTGTAATCAATAATCAGAATAGAGCTGGAAGCTACCTTGCAGGTCTTCTAGTCCAACTCCCTGCTACATTTCAGATAGGTGGATGTCCAGTGTTTTCTTAAAAATCTCCAGGAGTGAAACACCTACAACTTCTGAAGACAAGCTCCTCCACAGGTTAATTGTCTTCACTGTTAGGAAGTTTGTCCTTAGTTCCAGATTCTTCCATTGTTTCTTGTCCTGCCCTCTGGTCCTTTGGAAAATAAATTGATCTCCTGTTTTTTTGTGGCAGCCCCTCAAATTTTGTAATACTACTATCATGTCGCCCCTACTTCTTTTCTCTAGACTGGCCATATCTAATTCTTGCAACCATTCTTCATATGTTTTTGTCTCCAGGCCCTTGTCTTCAGGAAGTAAGTTGCAATCTACTTTGTCAAATGCCTTACTGAAGTCTAAGTATACTATATCCACAGCGTTTTGCTGGTCTAGTAATTTAATTTCCTTTGTCCTGAATTGGGAGGAATATATTTTTGTCTGTATGTAAACCTGCACATACAGAGTCATATAAAGAGAGAAATGGCTAGCAGTAAGGTATAAAATGAAATGCAAGGGAGAGTGCCTAATCATTGAGGCAGCAGGATTTGATTCTTCTATTAATGACAGTTTTACAGAACAAATGTTGCCTTGGCCCTTAGATGGCACTGTTATACTATACTTCAGCCCAATGGCTGCTAGTTCCAGCAATATGCTCCTCTACTCATGTAGAACTCCACAGGTTGAGGTCAAGTTATTCAGATGCAAAGCAGGTGGTGGAATCTAGCAGCTTTTTGATGCTGCAGTGAAAATATTCCATTACTATAGAACATTTTCCTGTGTGTATGAAATGTTATCACATAAATAATGAAACCAGTCTGTTTAAACAGAATAATTAGTTTTCCCAGATTACAATTTTAATCATGTCACATTTTTTCCATCTGTATGTTTCATATTAAATAACATGGGTAATTTTATTTGATGTGAAGGATTATCTGTGATCTTCTGAATCTATCAGTAACATGAACGTTGCTTTCTTTGCTTTTGTCTGGGATACCATTAAACGCTTCCTCTCTGTCATCATTAGCAAAATGGTAAAGACTTTTTTTTAAAAAAAATATCTGAAGTTGAATTAAGCTTGAATTAAGCGACTTGTCAAATATTAAACCCTGCTCATAAATAAGATTTACTGTGGAAATCTTTTTTAAAGACTGCCCTGTCTTCAGTTTAGTGCAGTGGCTCTTTTCGATTTGACCATTAGGTGGGCTTCAAACAATTCCTTCTTGGTCGCCAGGATCAGAGGTTTAATCTTCCAAGCTTCGGGCTTGTGTTGGAGCCCATCTTCAGGGAACTTTTCTCTGACTAGAAAGTGTCTTAAGCTGATTCCATAAAGGGCATGCTGGAGTCAGACAGCATTCAAATGAAATGAATAAGTAGGTATGGCTTCATAATTCAATTCCATTCATCCACTGAATTCAGAGGTGATTATATGATTGGTTCTTTGTTTTATTATATCTTGGTAATAAAATGTGCTAGTTTTGAAGAGAGGAGTGCTATTTTTTTAAAAAAAATACTGGTATTGGAAAGGTTGTGATGTATTTTTAAAAATGGAAGAATTTATTTATTTGTTTATGTGTTAGTTGCAATCATTAAATGTTTACTGAACCGATTTATTCCTGAAAGTATTTTTTTTCTATACAAGGTAACATAACTGTATTTATAGCCACAAACAGTTTTTAGAGGTATGTATTAAGGAAGTGCTCAGATATTTCACATACTTAAGAGTTGATACTTTTTTTGCAATATGAACACAAGACACTGGGAAATAATATACTCAGGAAATTTTCTGAAAATGGTAGACTGCAATAAAAAGAAATAAGATACTGCAGAATGATTCAAGAAAGTTCTGATCAAGAATAAGAGAGAGAGATAAAACTCCAAGAGCCAAAAATACGTTAACGCCTCAGATAAATTGGAAACTGCAGAGTGTGAAAACTAAGATCCAAAATGAAAAGCCTTGGGCATTATTTTGACCTTGCACAGCACACTTTTTCATGCCAGGAGTCTCAAATCAAAAGATATTTGGGAACTGTTCAAAATCTTTGCAGTGTATTTTCATGCAGGTCTGCGACTTTATTTCCAATCAATTCCAACAATTATATGGAGCACTATAACTGATGCAATTTACCTACATGTTTATAATTATAAATAAGGGCCAGTTTGTCTCTTAAACGAAAGGGTTGCAATTACCTGTAGAAAGATTGTCGTTTCAGGTCTCATGAATGCCAGTAATCTTTTGAATTTATCCTTCTTACAACAATTTGGTATAAATCGCTATAACTTGTTAGTATCTGAAGCCAATTTATCTACGTAATCTAAGATTATTGTTATAAAGAAGAAAGCCAACACTTGAATATATTCTATCCAAATCTTATCTAAAATTCTAAGAACAAGGTCTAACTGCTGACTTGGAACATAGAATATCAGAATTGGAAATGACCTTGGATGTCCTAGTCCAACCCCCGGCTGTTCATGTGGTGGTCCAGTCACGAAAACACACAAAAGTATCTGAAGTAGTATTTCCCTGATGATCAGCCACTATATATTATGCAGTATTATACTTCTACGTGACAGAAATATATAAATTCAGAACATTCCATTAAAACACTGATCTGCAAGTATATTGAAAATGTGGTAACCGTTACTGTGTCAGCATGGATTATCCAGGAACAAGTCTAGTAGGCTAATTCTTTAAAATATTTTTTATTAAAAAAAAAAAAACAGGGTAGATACATTATGATAGAACAGAAACAAAGAAAATAAGAAAAAATAATAAATAAGTAAGAAAGAAAATAGAAAAGATAATAAAGAAGCCGCTTACAATATTTTTGACAATAGTTATAAATGCATATATAACACCTCCCTTTCTAAGGTTACATAATTCCCATCTTTCTATAAACTATTTATTAATCTTCAAACCCAGAAATCACAACTTTATCTTTCTTTTTCTTTTCAGTTAAAAAAAAAAACTATAAGGAACTTCCAGCTACTAATAAATGAAGTTGCTGGTCTAATAGAAGACAGTAACTGTTGATAGAAGAGTTGTTAAGCTGTTAAATATGAATGAAATGATATAATTCAATGACCTCATAACTGATGCAAAAGTGATACTCAAAGAAGGTTCATCAACAGCTCTTCAAAACTGGAGAGAGAGGTTGAATAGGAGGTTCCAGCATTAGAATTCTGAATATTTGTGTTACTGACTTGAATCATACCATCATAGATTTGAAAATGACCAATTAGATTGTTGGCTATAAGAATCCAAATTAAATCATACCTAAAATACTATTCCGAACAAATGGATTTTAAGATTGACAAAATGGGGAGAGGAGGCTAATATTTAGAAGAAAAAAATGATAATTCAGAATGATCTTCAGAAAACAGAAAAAGAGGCAAGTCCTCAACTTGCAACAGTTCATTTAGTGACCATTCAAACTTACAACAGCACTGGAAAAAAGAGACTTATGACCGTTTTTCACAATTCCAACCTTTGCAGCATCCCCATAATCACGTCATCAAAATTCAGGCATTTGGTAACTAGTTCATATTTATGACCGTTGCACTGTGATCATGTGCAATCCCTCATGTGATCCCCTGTTGCAATCTTCTGATAAGCCAGGGGGGAGGCCAGATTCATTTCACAACCAGGTTACTAACTTGTCAACTGCAGTGATAGACTTAACAACTGTGGCAAGAAATGTCATAAAATGAGGCAAACTCACTTAACCAAACTCACTTAGCAACAGAAATTTGGGGCTCAACTGTGGTCGTAAGTCAAGGACTACCTGTACTTCATTTAGGAAATAAAAACCAAATACACAGCTTTAGAATGGGGAATACCTGATTTACTAATGTAGCAGTTCTTTTGAAAAAGATCCTTGAAATCCT